ATGCAATAGGAGTTCCATTCCTTAATTTCAGGATACAAAATGGATGTGTTCCTTTTCACTGAATATGTAATAAGTTCAGTAAAAAGGAACTACCAAACCCTGATGAAAACATAACCCCCAGGTGTCGGTCAAAATGAGCATTCGCTCAGTCACACTGGAGTAGCTTGGAGTAGAGCTGCTGCTCTTATATATCTTGTGGCTTGGGCATCCCTGGGGATTTCATCAGGAGCTGGAGGAAGTGTGTGTGGATGGATAGAGAAGTCTGCGTGTCTCTACTACCCAGCCTTGAATCAAGTGAAACACAATGTATAGGTGATTCAATTTGTTTAAAATGTCTATAATATTGACATTATTAGGAGTAATTTTAAATCAGTGCACCAGATTCCCACTTGCTCCTCTTTACTTTTCTTTGTTCTTCAAAGTTTGTAAACACTTCTGTTTTGAAATTCTCTGTTTGTTTTTCCCTTCTGTATTGATTCTTTTCATTCCCAAATGCTGGCTCCTTGGCAGAGCTGATTTGTAACGCCTCTACACTATTGTGCTTGTGAATCAGTCTTCTTATCTGTAAGTGAAATGTGCAGAGGGTCTTAGGACTACCTGCGGTGGGACAATGGTGTTCCCGGACCCCCCTCCCATCAATCCTGACAGCAGCATCCAGCTCCTAAAGCTCAAGTTCAGATCACAATCCACTAATACAGAGGTCCTGCCAGTGTGCGCTGTAATCATCTGCCAACGTCAGATATGTTTCGCCTTTTTACATTTTAGCGATGTTTGGCACCATGGCACAACCTGAATCAAAAAATGGGGACTAATCCACTTTAAAGCAGCATATTTGCGTATTGCATATTTAGAATGTGGCCTATGCACATTATTGCAAATTAAAGCTAAGGATCAAAGGCATTCAACAATAAATTGGAACCATCGTGAGGCAGTCTGATGCCATGAGGAAGAGCGCTTTCCTCCTCCATGCCACCACTCACTCCGCTGCAGCTGTGGTCTGATTACTGCGACCAATCACACGCGTTCAGGAAGTGCCACCGTCGGCCCCCTTTGTTCCTCTCCTCAGCAGTAAAACCCATAATGACAAGCATGGCAACGATAAAAAGAAATTTATGTCTATTTTTAATACTGTCCTCTGCTGCTGGCACAACGTGATGGGCATCATTCACAGTGCTGCTGTTCATTGTTGGTTTCTTTTGTGTCAAGTGCCGTCGCTTTACTGCATAATGTGTTCTAGATATGGTTGTCCAGAAAGAATAAAACTATAGCATCAAATTTGACATTTCTAGGGTAGGATGACATTGTATAGATTATATTACCAAAGCTCAATGTTTTGATAGAAATTGAATTACATTGTTTGTTTAAAAGGTGCATTGCGACTGCAGGAGAAACAGTGTTAAAAATGAGGTCTTTATCTTTCATATCAAAGAGTTATTACCATGACACTTGGATGTAAGGCTCTTATGTCTTGCACAAGACACTTGAGGTACAATTGTTTAGTGATTTCTGCACATTGAGAGGCTGCAGTCAGCTGCCATGTCAGCAGCTTGTACTGGCTCTAGAAAATCAATTTATTGTAGAACACATTATTTCACTAGAAGCTTGCCTGCACATATGCACCTTAAATGTACAGTTTTTATAATCCTTTTCATTGTGTTCTTAGGGCGTCACAATGTAAAAATTATTAGTATTGATGTGGAGTTTTTAGTTTTTCTTTCTGCGCTAAGGCATCCGGCTTTGTTTACAGTAAAGCGTTCTATACATTTAAGAACATGCAAGAACTACTTTCCCTTGTGGATCAGACTCATAAGAAACCTTTAGTATACTTTGAGATTATCCCCCTCAAACCGCTGATTTATTTGCAATTTATTGTAATGAATTACCTTTTATAAATAGAAAATCTTAGTCAGTATTTTTATTAAATAACGTAAATGCTGATACATCGTGAATAAAAGTCTTTCAAAGAGGTTCAAACGGTGCTACTGCTTACCAATGCACATGGCAGCGTTCCATGTCGGTCTATTGAGCTGCAGTCTGGGAGCTCTTGCCTCGCTGCTGCACCATCTATAAATGATCAAGCAGAATTATATGTTGTCAGCAATGCACATTTTATGTGACACATTTTTATTTAACAATTTACCATACATTTATGAAAGAATGTATTTCATTACAGGTTTGGACAAGGATTTAGTTGCAGCATATGGGGCAAAATGCATACAATATACATCAGAGTTCAGAGTCATATGTTAGAATATGTGATTTCTGAAATGGGGTTATACAGGAGGTGGACACGGATGAAAAGGCTATTAGACACAATATTAGTACCTGCTCTGTGATTGGATTTATGCTGTGGTTCCTTATCAGCAAAACAGCACTTACAATCTATTAAGTCATTGCTCATCCCCAAGCTGCTGTCTCTTTGTGCCCCACTAATCAATTGATCTCTTACTTTGCAACCCTAGTCCTTAGTTGCACATTTGGCTCTTTCTATCCTGTCTCTTTTTATCCATATTTGCTTTGTGGCTAAAAATACAATCTTTCCATTGGTGTATGTTGACAGGTAGCACCTCGTGAGTCACACAGAAAGCGCTCCTGTCTACATGCTATTCAACCTGTGATTAGTCAAAGTGTTCTTTCATTTCTTGTCATGCATGTCTCAAAATAGGCAGCTGCATTCAAAGGTCTTTGAAAGGTCAACTTTGAAATCATATGAGAAAAAAAAATCTAACTTCTAAATTAATTTGAGTGGACATTCCTTTGCCTGACTTGTTATGTTAACTTATTTTACTTACTTTACTCTATCAAATCTGTATGTTCATATGTTCAAGCCTGGAGTTTCTGAGCCAGAGTACTTGCAACAGAAGGAATATTGTGAGTGATGGTTTCTGTGGTGTGTGCATATGCTTTGAGATTGTTGGAGCAACTGTAGCTTTTTTTGACCCCCATTTCCTTTTCTGGCTGAGTGGTCATAGATAAAACATTGTCCGGTTGCTTGTGCCGTCGATACAAACTCTGGTCAACCCCAGCTTTATTGTTCTGGGTTTAAAATGACAAACTTTTTATGAATGACTCGTGTGTGTGCACATGAGCCAGATGTTTCCATGGTTACCAGTGTCTGTCTGAATAGTTGTCCATGTAGGGAAATCAAATGCTGAAATATGGGAAGTTTGATTTTGTGAGTAAATGGCACACTGCTATATTCACACAGACTTCAGTCTTTTCTTCTGTTTTATTATCTTTTAAGGCATGTATAATATCTCTCAGGTTTTCCGTAATTATACATTAGGTCTCACTGATTACTTAAAGCAAAATATTATAGATTGACATGCACAAAATGATGATGATGGACAATACGTTAATGATATACACTTTGCTTTGTCCTCATATATTGTTATTTTCCATTTGTCCCGCATAAATACATGAAATAAATTGGTTCAGCTTGCTAACCTTTCTGTTGTGAATATGCCAAATCAATAATCAAACGAGGGTAAGTCGTCTTTGCTTTTGCTGACATGTCACTTCACACAAACGGCTAAATGAAAGCAGACTTTTGCTCTCTGATATTGGAGAAAATGACATTTCAAACACATATGTTATGCAGCTCTTAACGTTTCCTTAACACTACTTATAAATGTAGGCTATATCCCTAATCCATCTCCACGATGGTAATTCGGAGACACCCTGAACAGATGTCCAGTTAGTGTTCCGAGCCATGATCTGTCCATCTTGCCATCTGCTTGTCCCAAACAAGCTGGGGGGCAATATGGTGGTCATGTGAAACTCTGGCTCCAAGTGTAAGCCCCCAGCCTGAACTCAAACAGAGCGGGAGAAAGGCAGCGGGTCAAAAACTAAGTGCAGGGGCGGGGTCTGCATGTGGTGGTTGTAATGCATCGCTGTACTTTAAAACGGGCATAAAAACATAATTATATAATGTAATATGTGATTATAATCCAAAGGTTGTGAAATATTGAGTTCAAATGTAACCTTAAGTACAAATCCTTGACACTGCTCTATACCTAAAAGCAATTGTTATCTCATGAATATAGATGATCATTCAATATACAAAAATATCCCACCAAACTGTTGCGTGTTGCTCTGCAGTGGAGGTTTCGTGTGGTTACTGAGCGCAGCCAGTCTGTGGTCATCACATCAACCTCTCATGAAGCCTCCAGGCTGCGTCTTTTTTATAATTCATTGTACTTTAAAAAACGGATTTTGGATGCTCTTTGATCACTCCGGATGGTTTTGTGCATTTGGAACTTAGTATATCTTTAGTACTGTATTTTAGGGAGACCTTTTTATACCGGTACAGTACCTGTATACCTGTTCTATCTTTTTTTCTATATCACTTTTTAATCTGGTATTAATGACATACTGCCTGTAATTTAAGTAATTACTCGCACTTGCGTGTGCAAAATTTTCCAAAATCTTTTTATTCTTGAGCAGAAAAAACAAAGATGTGGCTGTATGCTGCAGGTGTTACAACCAATCAAACCTTGGTAAAGGGTGCACTTGGAATATCCGGATCTGTCTTGAGGAAAATAACTATCCAGGCCAACAAAATGTGATTCCTTGCGCAGCGCAAGGTAGTCTTGATTTAAAAGGCATTTATTTACTTGGCCAACCAGTTTCAACCTCAGTCGGTTTTCATCAAGACTTACAATAAAAAAGCCAACATCAATCTTACTCTTAATCCAAAATTTTTTTTGATTAAGAGTAAGAAAATGGATGGATGGATGTTTCGCCATGGCAAAACTGACCAGAAGCAACAATGTGAATTTAATCAAAGTATGTTTTTCACATTTGTTTTGCTCCCCCCGTCTTATTCTTTTAATAGTTTAGAACGGGATTTTTGTGTGTGCCTCATTGTCTTTCAAGTCGCTGAGTCAGCCAGAGTCATCGTGTCTCCTTTGTCATTTCTGTGTTCTTAGGCTCACATGTGTATTTACAGCAGCGTGCACTTTGCTGCTACATGCTAATTATTCTCTCTGATCTCACAGGCGCTGGCATCTCACAGAGTATTCCTCTTGACGGCTCGTATCCCCGCTAAGGTAAGCGTCACATTTATGGACCTGTTTGGCCTCACTTTAAGCACCAGTGTCTGTGGCAAAGTTTAAAATATCGGCTATTTTCTTCCAGTGAAATTACATACTTTGTCCAGTGCTTTTTATACTTCTAAACGCTGGTCTTATAATGGGGCACAGATGGGAATTATTTTGCACATTGCGAGGTATTGAACATCTGTTGTCACATATAGCACGATTAGGACTGCAACCAAAACCACCAGTATATAATGTGTATGAAGAAGTGTTTGGTCGGCACATTCTTTTCATTCATCCACTTTATTTTTTAACAATCTTTAACAATGCCTGCCTCAACTGCTGCATTTTGTGTTTGTTCTTTTTGTTTTAGTGTTTTTTAATCCTAGTTACATGGTTATGATGGCTTTGCAGGAATGTTCCCCAGCATGGCTTAGGCGTTAATGCCAGGTTGAGAAACGTTCCAACAATAACCAAGCAAAGAACTCCACCGTGATGCTTTTAAAGACGTCTTGTAACTTTACCTGAGACCAGGGGCGTCAAACTGTTCCAGAAGGGGCCGCTGTGGCTGCAGGTTTTAATTCCAAACCAGCAGGAGCGCGTCAGAGTCCACCCATTTCCTCAAGTCTTCAGGGTAAGACTGGACTCCCATGAGGGAATGGGTGGAGTCTGTGCGCTCCTGTTTGGTTGAAGCGAAAACCTGCAGCCACAGCGGCCCTTCAATCAATTAAATCTATTTTATTTCGAACTTCGTTGTCAAATCCAGTGTCATGGCAGTTCATAATAAAAATAAAAAAAAGCTTCTCTGTTCTTCTATTCTCATTTGAAAACAAATAACAAAACAATAAAAAATAAAAAATATTGAGAAGCAATACAAAATCCCAAAAAATTCAAGAAAATACAACAACAAAAAATGACAACAAGAAAGTTCGAAAGGGAGTGGGAAGAAGTAAATACCTTTGAGGACCTGTTTGAGAACCCTGTCCTAAACAGTAAGTGTAAGTACTCTTGATAAGATAAGAATTCCTTTATTTGTCCCACAGTGGGGACATTTCTGGCATTATATTCTCTATAAGCACACTTTTGTTCACTTTGAGGATTGGATTTTCACACATGCTCAATTTCAGCTGAGGTACCAATCTTTTTTTAATGAGCGGAGCAAAGTTCCTCCCTATCAAATCAGTATTGTTCTATTAAATTGTCTAGTAAATTGTCTTTGATTTATATTCCAGTGTGAGTGAGTGAAAAGTAAAAAGACTTGTTTTGTCTTATTTGCAATTTATAATCTATTTCTGTACACAATTTGATCAAAATAGAAACTCATTTTGCAGGTTAATTAAACACTGAGGCAAAGTAATTCTAACATAAATGTAGCTTTTCTGTGTGTCCTTAACTGATTCTGCTGCTTCGTTTCTGAATAGGGGGCTCTGCTATGTTTAATACTTGGCTGCAATATCATTAATTTGATGATCTGGAATGAAAATGTTTCATTGTAATTACTTTGCTTCAAGGACAGTTACTTGTATTATATTATTACATGTAGCTCTTTGCCCTTCAAACAGATTTGTGGGGCCGATGACATTGCCCTAGGGAAGTTTTAGGTGATTGAGTTGAAGTTTAAAGTGATTTATAGATTTATTGGAGGCCACAGAGAGTGCTCCACTGGTCCTTTTTATTTTCCAGTCACATGTTCCTATGTCCTGAGTGAGGCGTGTTTATTTTGCTGTGTTGTTAGGATTCCATGTGACATCACCCGTCCCTCCAAGCTGCCTTTACTGCTCTCCAGCCATAACCTACTGTCTGTTCTGGATTAGTTTGATACTATGTTTTATAGGTTCATGGAATCCTCCCGTTGTAAAATATTTATACGAAAAATCCAGCTTTTCCCAGTGTTATTCCTCCTCTGGCAGATTCAGGCAATGTTTTTCCCCTATTGCCTCAAATGAACCAATGTGGACAGTTCATCTCTAATCATTATTGTACATTTAATTTCAATCAATCAATCAATCAACGTTTATTTATAGAGCGCCTTTCCTACACAAGGCAACGCAAAGCGCCTCACAACCCATATAACATCATGCATAAATCATCAAACATTAGAATTTAAGTAAACATAAAAAGACAGATTAAGAGCACAAGATATATAAAATCACACAAGTAGTTAAAAACCGTAAAACATTAAAATCACACAAGGGATTACAATCATAAATAATCATAAATAATCATAGCGCATTAAAAAGATTAAAGATAAAAAACAAATATAAAATCATTCACTTGTATGCACAGCTAAAAAGAAGAATTTAATCTCAAATGGTTTACCCACAAAACATATTAACAAAATATACAACTATTCTGGCATCATTTGTTTAAGCATACCCTCCCAATGATCACAAACATATGGCTTTTGCTTCTAAAAATTCGACAAACTAGCGCTGTAAATAATGCCAAAGCTGTTATTTTATGTGCAACTGGAGGACTTTATAGTTTAAGTTAGCAACATGTTTGTTTGTCTGTTCTCAGAAGCATGTGAATTCCCCCTCTAGCGCACATCTCAGTGGGTTTGTTCTTCTATTGATGGCTTGGCTCTGTTTGAGAAGCTGCAGGGGCCACAAGCTGTCAGTGAAAACCCAAACACAGTCGTTCGCTGCTATTGGGAAAATTCAGTCTCCAATTGCTGGGGATATATCTTTTAGACAAATGATCTTAGGTCCCTGTTCACTCGTAAGAATGTGTTTGTCAAAAGGTGTTATATCGGCTTGTTTATCAGTATGCCGAAATCATTTTATGCTAGCAGCAGAAAAATTCAACACATTTTGAAAACACAACAAGCTGTTAACAAGTTCAGAGGGATAATGAATGCTATCCCTGCAGACAGGATCGTATCTCACAAAGACAAAAGTGAGTGGGCGCTCTGACTACTACATGGTGAGCCTCCGTCTGCTCCCGAGTGTTATTCAGGCTGGAAGAAGTGAGCTCCACCTGCAGCAGTGTGGCCTGCTCTGCCCCACTGCCCCGGGCTCTGTCTGAGGCACTGAGCTGTACCTCGGAGAGCACGCAATCTTCCCTCCTCACTGTGAAAGGCTCTCAGCTCCTTTTTAGGCCTGGAAATGAAGGCAGCTGCTTTGTCTCAGGGCTTTTTGTCCTGAAATATCCTCTTGACACAGATTTAGAAAGTGTTGCGTTGGCGTTTTGTCTGGTATTCTCTGCTATATTCATTATTCAACAACAGATTGAAAATTATAGATCAAAACAAAGAAGAAATAATGAAATGATGTGTTCAGGGTAATTGAATGATGCAACTGGGTGTATAATTGTTTTGATTGTTTGATCATCGAGAAACATTCATCAATAATCAATTAATTGCTTGATCATAAATATGAGATGTGTAATTTTGCCGGGGAGTATTCAGCAGCCAATAAACTATAACAATGAGTCAATCATTGCTTACCTTAACATGTTTATTTTTAGTCTTTTTTGACCACAGTAGAATTTCATTCTTATATAATAAGAATTAAATTCTACTGTGGTCAAAAAAGGAGTTTGAAAAACTGTTAAGTGTTGTATGTCAAATAAGTGGAGAGGCAACCTTTGTGTCTAGGTAAACTGTAATATAATATAGTGTCAGACCCAGTTTTAGAAAGCATTAAAGCATTTGTTATTAATTATAAATTGCTCGAAAGGATGACACGAGACACGACTCAGCAGGAAGCAGCAGGCAGACACTGATGAGGATATTCTGTCCTATTGATTATGAATTTCAGACATTCTTCTGTGTTTATCTTTTTTTGTTTCAGGTGGAGCACTCTGTTAACTATCTGGAGATTCAGGGAATTGCGTGTAACAAACCAACACAGGTATGAGGCACATTTCATGGAAAAATGTATTTTTGTGAATGTTGCAACTCCATTAAAAATACATTGGTTATTATAGTTTACTCTATTTATTGTTATTATTCAAAGCATGTTAAGATTCCTTTTATTTGTATGTATTTATTTATTTTTAATGTTTTATTATATGTGTTCTGATACTTTGGCTATCCATGGGTTTCATTGTGATGACAAATGTGCATCTTCAAAAAAGTGACTATTAACATTTCAGAATGAGTATTCAATTAAATTTATTCTTGTATAGCCCTAAATCACAACAGTTGGTATTTTGGAGGACTTTACACAATTATTGAATTTGCCAACACAGACATGCATTGATAGAAAACGCAATGGGTCTGTTCCATAAGGGGCAGAGGAAAATGTCTGTGATAAATGTCTATAAATGTTGTTGAATGTTGAGTGTCCTGGATCATCACCACTGTCCTGGTGTTACACCCTTTTAAAAGATGTTCTATTTTTCTTTATGATGTAACTGTAAATGGTCCAAATTGACAAAAACGGACAAAACTTAGAATAGAGATATATATATAATAGGGGACTTATAATTACTATCATCTTTCCAAGTTCTAGCTGTACTGCACGGAGCAAAATTTACTATAATTGACCTCTTAAATATGGTAATCCTTTTCTAACCGCACTGTTCCTGCAGCTGAACCTCTTCTCCACTTTTCAACACTTGTCAGGCCGTTACTTATCATGACGGATAGTTCTGGATCCTTAATAAATAGCAGCTGGGATTATGATAATTTTGGCCTATGGAGAAGGCACACGATACATGAGTATTTGCATAAGTAGCTTTTCAGTGTCATTCAATCCTTACATGTATTTCAGATAAAGATGCAGTGTGTATATGATCAGATTTTACCACCACGGTTGTACTTGGTGACATTTAAAAAAGGTTATTGTGCACAAGACTCTCAGTGTGAGATATGTTCAGTGACTTTTATTGTGTTACAGTTGTCGATCGAATATGAGCGTGGCTCCTTCTCGCTGAAACTGCTTTCTACAGAAGAGGTCAATGAGGTTGTGGCGCACATTGGAAACTGTATGCAGAGGATTTGTCCTGGGCTTCCACCACCGTGAGTTCAGACAAACGAAATGTACCAACTCTTATTTTAGATGATGAATTGAAAGAATGGTTTTACCAGCTATGGCCGCTCCATAGTTTTTCCACATGTTGGTTTGAATTCTATTGCCATGGGTCAGTTCTGGTTACATTATTATTTTATTTACAATACCGTTCATTCAACAATACTTGTAAATACTCTGGTTATAGGTGTTTGTTGAAAATGTGAGGCATAGTATGGAAACAGTTTGACACGGATGGAATAAGAGGCAAAATTATTCACAACAGTGCATATTATTCAGGCGATTTGTGAACATTTTACTCAAGAATTAATGCCAAAATATGAGATCTGATTGTCACCCCTGACCCAGAAATGGACAAGAGGAAAACGAATACAAATGAATGATTATGGGATGATCTAACTAAAAGTGACAATGTATACCTAAAGCGTACTCATTCAAAATATATTACTATGACTTATGATAATCATATTAATTTCACATTTAAGTAATGAAAGTAGAAAATAAAACAAATTCTCAGTTTGAATGCATACAGCCTGTTACAGACTGCAGCATGTCGTATCTTTCTCTAGTTTGTCTGTTTATTTGATAGAAAAGTCATGAAGAAGCTGAGCATGGAGCCTCCGGAGAGACTGACCTGGTTACACTCACAGTGGGAAACCAACAAGCCAACAGAGCCAGGCCCATGTGGTAAGAACAAACTACCATTACACTACCACATACTTATGATTTACTGTGTTCAATATTTGGCTATGTTTGCTCCCAGCCGTGTCCTGGCCTTAATAAATGTTTTTTTCTGCAGGTGGCTTTTCTCAGATGTACAGATGTGTCTGCGACTGGCTCGGGCTGCCGTACAGAGAAGAGGTGCAATGGGTCAGTTTTGGTTACATTATTAGTATTATGATTATAAACATCTTATGGCTAGTTAGTTCTTGTAGATAATTAACTTCATTGTTTAATTTTAGGATGTAGACACAATCTATTTAACACAAGATTCTCGAGAACTTAACCTGCAAGATTTCAACCATTTGGAAAACAGGTAACCTTTCTTGGAATTCAAATGAGAAAACCTATTGTTATGAGTAATCTTCTTTCTAAACTGAATTTTGTGTCCATCCTCAGGGACCTGGTGCCCATCATCGCAGTGTTAGAATTTAACCAGTGGTTCAACAAGCTCTCGACCAAGGACTGTAAACTGGTTAGTTCCTTTAAATAATTTGTTTCCTAAATATGTTTCCTGTTTTTTTAAAGCATAGTAAATGTATTCACACTGTGAATCCTGGACATACAGTATACTGATTGAAAAATGTGTTTGTTTGCCAGTTTTGCCAAACTATAGGAAAAATTCAGTGTACTTCCTGAACAATTCCAGATATTTGTCAACTTTTCTTTACAAACTGATTCATGATTTGTGCAGAACTTTCATGCACATTTACCACCTCATAAAAACTGGACATATGCACTTAACTAACCATTGGCCTTCATCCGTCTGCACTCATATTATATTGTTGCTGTTGCACACTTGCACTTACTTAGTGCCTAAAACATAAGATGCAAATGGCCTGTTCTTTTGCCCCCTCTGTGCCCATGCTGCGTGTTGATGGAGGATCAGTGCCGTGTTCTCGTGTGATAAGGTTGCTAATCCGCAGCAGACAAAGGGGCTCAGTGTCTCCGGCTGCTGCCTCCCGCAGAACTCCATTCCCCACTCTGACTCAAGGCTTTGCCCATTCGCACCAATTACCACACTGGACTCCAGTGGTGCAAACAATTATCCCGCATTTTGTGTAGTGGAAAGATGCTTTGATTTGAACTTAACTTCTTGTCCTCTTCAAACACATATAATTGTCTATCATTTAGTTGCATTCAATTATGAGTAACCTTTTGATCATGGATCTAATCTAGTTTTACTCAACTTTTTATTAAAGGGCAAAATTCTGTTGCTCAAACGTACTATGTTTATTTTGCGACATACCCAATGGACTCTGTATAATGTTTAAGGTGATTGTAAAAATCCCCGAAACAAAATCAAACTCTACAAAAGCTTCAATCTGCATTGTAAAGATTTTCATTGGCAATGTGCTGATGGCTAATAAGGTGACTTTGATTTTTCATTGATTATGTGCTATCGGAAATAATAACAGGGAGTTGGCAGTGAACTGGAGCACTGACATGGTCCACACAACTCTCCAGAGACAAAGCAAAAATAAGTCTGAAAAGTGTCTGGAAAGATTGGATTTTTGAGCAGAGCTGAAAAAAGAAGATGGCTTGACATTTTCCAGCTTTGGAAAAGAGTCTTGAATTTTCCACCACCAGATGTAAGCCGCCTGATGTTCCAGCCAAACCTATTGACTCACTCAGTTCATACGAGGGCCAGCAATTTCGTCAGCTTTCATATTACAGCCACCATTTTAGCCACATTTCCATCATTAGATGATTACTTAGGCGATAAGTAGATATGCAATGTTTTAGCTTAATATATTAATATATCAAAATAAGGCAAAACTTTTAATTGAAGATGGATTAGTTAAACAAATGTCAGATTAACATTGAACTGTATGATCATGTGCTTTGACTAACGACCAAAATGACAAAATTAGAGATGCAAGCAATTCGGTGCAACACAAGACATCAATCACATGGGACTGTCTTCGAGTAGAGCTGCTGGTCCTCCATGGCCTGGGGAAGACCCAGGATTTGTTGGAGGGAATATCTTGTGGCTGGAATCTTGGTATTCCCTAAGGATGAATTGGGTCGGATCTGTGGATTAGAAAGTCTGATTCTCTGTCACAATAAAGAAAGTGGATGGATGAAGACCATACCTATTGAACTTTGATCTCGCCTTCATCCCATCTCTCAAAAATATGCATACGTTTAAAATATCCTGTTAACTGATTATATGTTGTGTTAATTGTTATGTTGCGTCATCAAAACTTTGATTTTAAAAAATGGTTGGCGTGAAACCATATGACCCAGAGCTGCTCAAATCACCAAAAAGTTGCGTATCTTGAATATACATACACCCCTATTTTCCACCCCAATTTTCCAAAGAACTAAAGTATGGAACACTTCTGTCACCCCAGGCGAGGATTACACTAGAAAATTCTCAATTCAGAGATAAGAAGTGTCCCTGCGCAATGAAGTGGATAATAAATGCGCGCACACACACACACACACACACACTCACACGCACTTGAGCGCCTGCATTATTATTCTGTCCATCTCCAGATCAATCAGCGTGTTTGTGTGACTATTATAATGGTGGAGGAGGAGTAGAGGAGCTGTGGACTGCCGTGACAAGAGGACTTCCTGATTGCACTTTATTCACAGTGAAAGGAGCTAATGGAGTCTTTTAGTTCAACATTAATGACATAAAACCACAGCAGGAGTTCCTTTCAGAGCAGCCAAAGTAGGCAGTCCATCAAAAATGCAGCTAATGTCCCTTCTTCTCAAAGTGCCACACTGCAATGAACTAATACAAAAAAATAATCAGGGTAGAACTTGGACTTACTAAACATACATGTTGGCATAAAAGCAAACAAAATATCCGTAATGATAATGAGACAAATATTTTAATGATCCTAAATCATGTTCCATAGCCAAAGATGCATATACTTCTTAATTTGAGCAATTTGGAAGAACCTGTGTATTTTGTTTGACACATTTTCACCTCCATTACACAAGTTATTTACATTTCCAACAACAATTGATTTATTTTTATGATACATTCTGTTTACAGAATTGAGTGAATTTGGACAGCGAGTAACCAAAAGTCAAATTATTAAGGCTCAATGGATAAAATTATGACATTATTATAAAATGGTGCTGTATTTTCCTCAATAGCTGCTAATCTTATCAATAAGACATCTCGATAGAAACATGTACCTGAAATCCATGTGAGATTTGAGGTGAACTCCGATTATCATTAAGCATTACATTCTAGCTATCACTATAAATTATAATAACTTTTGTATAGTACTGAACGCTTGTCTATTCCTCTATTTCACCCCTGGTTAAACTTCAATCTTCCCATTCAGCAGCTCAATGCTTTCACGTTCATACTGCAGTAAACACTCAGACAACAGGCTCTCTGTCCCTTCTGCTGGAGATAACGGTGAAGGACAATGTGGACAATGCTGCCTGTCTTTTGTTGCACTGTCACTGCTGGTTAGTTGGTGGCATAATGGTTCCCCTTTAGCGGAAATGCCAAATTCCAAGAATAACATTGCTCCAGAGGCCTGTTGTAAAAAGATACCACTGCAACATTATCTCGGAATGAGGTGGTAAAGTTACGTAATAGCGCACGCGAGTTGAGCTATTACTGTGTTGTTCTATAATTTAGATCATTGAGTCCAGTTCTAATCGTGCTGGGTCTTTAAATATTGACGTTTAAAGTATGTCTGGTTGATGCCGATGTATTTGAACTTTATATTATTTCAATCCCCCAATATGAAAGTTATTTCAATACTTCTGTAGGTAGATATAAAATCCATATTGCAACATTGTTCTATCATCAAAAACAGAAGTTATTTGAAACAATATAATACAGTATTGCCAAACACAGTCATGTGGTTGTATTGTCCCTAACTTTGTTGTACAAAAATAAGTGAGGGGCTTTGCTGCCACATGGTTGTTTACAGCCGGTAATTTTGAAATGAGAAAACAAAACAATATGTATTCAACTCCTCCCTCTGGTATTATTTTACCTTCTAACACATGAAACAACTAAGTAAATTGTCTCATTATAATTTTTAATCCATCTAGGTCTATGAGCAAGCAGCTAATGGCAACTTTTTATATATTTTACATCTAGTTTGAACATTAATGGAATAGTGTTTTTCACTGTTTTTGATTTTGCTTGAAGAGCACCTGTTCTCGAAACGTTTTTAAGAACCCACTGAAGCACTCGCTCAGCTGTCTTTAATAGAGTATTTTTATTGCCTACTGAGGGAGAAATTCATCTTTGGCTCACCACCACATACAAACCAAGACGACAACAGAAAAACAAAAGTATCAGCAGCAGCCTGGAGGAAATGCATAAAGTGCAAAATGCATGAGTTCATTTCTTTGACTCCGGCTGCATTCAGAATGTCCTCCGCACAGGGAATGAGTCTTTCTAAAACCCATAACTCCAAATATTATGGTTGTGACATTTCTAGAGCTTTTATAAGTTAGATATTGCTAGACATTCCCATTACTGATATAAGCAGGTAGCAGTGGCAGATGGCATGCGGCAGAAAAACATTAAATTAGTTTCGGTATCTTTCTTTATACAATAACGCTCTGTCTGTCTACAAGTGAACATTAAGGTAGGACATCCAAACTGTTGAATATTTAATTTTGTCCAAAAGTGAGTGCTGCTTTCTCGTTCTCCCGGTCTCTCTGCAGCCTGGGCCCGTCATAGAGGCAGCACACTTCACTTCCTCCAGCTCAACTTTAATTAGCATAAAAGAACAGGCCGCTGGGGTGTTTTCACTGTTTTAACCACAACACCAACGGGACTCATTTAACCTTAAAACACACCGCTGAATTTGCACATGACCTTCGATGTTTCCGCTCCAGATTTGGAGCTGTTAAAAGCTGTTTTGGCCTCGAAGCTAATTCCGTTAATTAGAATAAGTCTATGCTCCTGATAAAAGTAATGAACATAGCATCAGCGAGGAGGGAGTCTGAGACAAAACTGCTTTAACACTTCAGCACAACTTTTGAAAAGCAAGTTAGCCCTTATAAATTTTGTTCAGTATTTGGCTGAATTGGCATTTTCTGTGTTTTAAAGTCTGCAGATGTGTGTGAAGAGATCCTCAGAGTGGTGTCCCGATCGAGTCGACTGGAAGAGTTGGTTCTGGACAACGCAGGACTCAAGACGTATGCTATATTTATATAAAAAATCTTTGTGCGTGTAATAATGGGAATAAGAATTTTAGGGTTTACTAAAATGAGACTGGTCTTGGGCTTTGCGATAGAAAAGTGGCTCTCAAGAGTCCAGTCCATTCCACACTTTACACATGTAACCAATGTAAATATCTTTTTATTTCTAGGTTCAGTAAACTAAAATGTGTGTAATTCTAGTCATACTTTTATCAAATATGGCATTAACTAAAACTATGATTTAATGAGTTATAACAGTTAAGGATAACAAAATTGTCCTGATCCACAGAGATTTTGCCCAAAAGCTCGCGGCTGCCCTGGCGAATAACTCCAGCTCAGGAATCACTACTATTAATCTCGCCAACAACCCTCTGGAGGACAGAGGTAAGGCGTGCTCTTGTTTGTCTGTCTCCCTGGGCCCTGATGCTTAGGAGTGTTAGCAGTGTTCTCTTGTCTGCCTTTTGCTGATGGCATGTTGTTGTGTTTTGAAGACTGGAAATAAGAATGTAAGAATTTACATTATCTAAAAACAACGTTTCTCAGAGGTCAAATAGTTTGAATTGAAAACACATGATTTATTTTTAGCATATTTGACTTAAATATTAGCATATTTGAAGTAAATGTTTATCAATGAAACGTAGCATTTTTCTCCTCATTCGCAGATCTGTTTTCCCTGTTTGACTGTCTTTTATCTTTTATCAGTTTTTTTTAAGCAATGAAACTATACCTTTTGTCTGACGCTTGCTTTTCTGGTTCATATAGCACTTTTGATAGATCAGGGTCACTGCAACATGCCATCCAGTCCAGTCCACGTGTAGTTTGAAAATATATTTTACAGTGGCTAATGATTTTACTTTCCACATTATATTTAACCTCTGCAATACCTGATATTCCTACTAATGGTGCATTCTAACTCATGCAGCTAAGGACATTTTGTGTAACTTTCTCGGCACAGCAACCAGAAAAGTGTCATACTGTATGTATCCTGACTTTAAACATTATAAAAGACATGAGATTATGACATTTGCTTTGTCACAGTTCAGGAAGTGCAGAAAAGTAAATATTTAATGTTAAAATGTCTGTCGCTCCTTTACATGAATTAAAGATGATCTACTGCAGGGCCGTCCATATAGTGGCTCCAAATGAATATGCCAATTTTTTTTAGCTGTAATAATAATGATAATAAAAATAATCATAATTATACATGTGTGCTTCTTTTTGTTGCAGGTCTCTCATCTTTAGGTGCTCAGTTTGCCAAACTCCAAAAGGGGCTAAAACATTTAAACTTTTCTAAGACCTCAGTATCACCCAAAGGTAAGAGTTTGTCTTTTCTTCTAGTTCTATTGTCACCATAACCTGCCACTAGATTTTTATAATAATTTTTCTACAAACGGCGCTCTTCAAAATCCACCGCTGAACTGCCTAAAATGAGCATAATCTCTAATCCACTCTTTATAAACCCAAAACCACTGAGTGAAAGCCAAATCTGAATTGTTTATATAATGAACATTTGTATTCTATGTTGTTTCATTTGTTTACCTGAAATGTGTTGCGTGGGTGTCTTCTAAGACTCTATAGTTTTAAGACTCAGTGTGATCTTATTTGCTAATTTCAGTCAAGCATTTGCTCACATGTCCTGCTGCAGTCAGGCCAAATCCGAGCTGTGGAAGAGGTGCATGTGATCGCCATGTGAATGACTGATTGAGTGAATGATTTCTAACCCTCATTCCTTCACAACCACAAGTTTAAGCTTTTCTCTCTCACCATAGAACCAACAATGTGAACTGAAAGCATTAGTTTTTAACCATGTGAAACCTTAAGCTTTCATTTTGACCAAAACATGATTCATATCTGTATTATTCTGTATTGTTTATAGTTTTTTTTTCAAATGCTATATACGCTTTATGGTCGTTTCAGAGTCTAGAAATTGTTTGTGAAATTATTAAGAGAAATAACTACAAGGAAATGTTTGTAAGAAACCAGTGACATGTAGGCAGAATTTTGTTTTGCAGGTCTGCTAGGTTGAAATCCTTTAGATGCCAATCATTCACAAAATGCACTATCAATATTTGTTTTAGATGTATGCATTTGTCATTTATCAATGATATACAGCACTACGACAATAGCGCTATCCCAAATGTTGATTTGAACAGCTATGGTCTTGAATCGCTTTCATTTTCTGTGCATTCTGAGTGCGTCCCAGGCCATTGCAGTCACTTCATTTCCTCTGCTATTTCCTTCAAAATGCTGTCAAAACACGAGCTGGAGATGTGGCTGACTCTGTGTGTTTCTGATCCAGGGGTGAACAGCCTTTGTCAGTCCCTCAGTGCCAACCCTTCCATCGCCAGCTGCCTGCTCCACCTGGATCTCTCAGGGAACATCCTCAGAGGAGACGACATGCAGGTAACAAGACTGTGTTTCTATAACTTTTATTCAATTGTTGCTGATTATTCCCATCGCGTTAGTCCCAAAGGATGGTCTAGTCATGAAATACTAAGCAATTTTGGTATAAGGTTAGATTTTTGTATTTCTATATAAGATTAGGCCTGATGATATTACGTCCACATGTACAGACAATGTACTGGATAATGATAAATAAGGAATCAATCAGGAACTCTCCATTTGATTCCATCGGATGGTAGGAGGGGGTAACCATGAGTCCTCAATCCAATGACTGTTTGTAATGTTAAATTTTTACATTCAACAGCAATAACATGGACTGGGTGCATTTATTATTATTTTTATTTTAATCTAGAATAGGTCTTTGCCTGTCCCTAAACCATAACCTTTGGTCCCCAACCCTAGGGTCAAAGTTTAGGCCCTACTGGCTGGAACTGGTACTTTGATTGATTTCGAACCAGTTTCCTCAGCATTTATGTGGGGTGTGTCCTGCTGGCGCATTAGTAATCACTGGACATGTTGCACTGTTGGAGACTATTGACTTTTGAGAGCCTGATAACGCATGGAGCAGTGCACCCATCACACTGCAGATCTTAATGACTCACTTGAATGATTAGTATATCATTTGGGGAGCAAGAACACAAAATTGAGTAGAATTGCAATAGTTCGTGTTTTCATCCTCATTGGAGTCTCACTCACACAACACTAGCATTAATACATGCGACTTACCAATGTTTCATGTACAATCAGGATATTTGCAAATTGATCATGCCTGAACAGATTGCTTGTGTTTTTTGTTTTGTTTTTAGCATTTTTACCATTTCCTGGCTCAACCAAACAGCTTGTCAACCCTTGATTTATCCAACACTGACTGCTCCTTGGATCAGGTATCTGAAGCCTATCTATTTATTACTGCCATGTCTGCTTTCTTATTGCTTTTCCTTATTGCGACATAAAGAAATGTAATTTGTAAACATAAAATTGCCATTCAGTTGACTTTTTGAGATATGTCATTTGTTCCGACAAACGTAATTCAATTATAATCCTCGTGTTGCTGTCTACTGTGCTTCAAAATGGCCTGAATACTCAATGTGATGTATTGATGTGGACTTTGCAAGCCTAACCCATGCATTGATCGCGTTGGGCCACAGCCAGCTGTCAACCTGTCGTTGACAATATTGATTAGCTTTTAAATCATATACAGTCGTACAAGGGTAGAGTTGTGTTTGGGTAATGAGATGTTGGTGTGTTGCCAGGTTTGCTCCGCTCTGCTGCGAGGTTCAGCCCAGCATCTCTCGGTGCTCAATGTGTCAAAAAGCCTCTTCCCCTACAGGTATGGCAACTCAACACTTGTTAAAAATACACATGAAAGCACTCAAGCTCGTGCGGAAGATTAGATTGAGGTCTCATACACACCTGGCTCTTTCATCTCCCGCATGAGTATATTTATTATGAGTTAAATTAATATGGATGCTTGAGGGATAATGTAGTTGCAAGGTGAAGCCATCATGTACTTGTTCACTTAGTGGAGCAATTTCTAATCTGATATATTTAGGTTTAGCATATATTTAATACAAGTGTAGTCATTCCTTTTACCAGAACTGAAGTAATAATGTATTGTCAAAAGTGCATGTAATAGTTGCTTTGTCAGATTCATGTGAACTGTTAGTGTGCCACCTACTGGTATAACATGTAGCATATGGGCTGCATAGTGGAGCAGGGGTTAGAGCTTCAGCGTTTCTGTGTGGACTTTGCATGTTCTCCCTGTGTCTATGTAGGCTCCAGTTTCTCCTACCACTCAAAACATGTGCAATAGGTATGAATGTAATGTATGGTGTTGATTGGTGGTTTTGATGCCCCAGTATGTTCGGCAACTCGCTTCCGTCATCAACCGTGAGTGGAGAGAATAGAAAATTATCTGGACCTTGAACTTTGTAAAGCGCTTTGGGTGAATGCTTGAATGATGTGGTGAAAGAAAAGGAAATGATTTGTTGAGCAGGAATAAAAGCATTTTCTCCCCATTATATCAAAACACATATTAGCCTAATTCGCAAGTTAAGGGGACCAAGATTTAGGAGGTACTAGAGATGATATTGTTTAGGCCTGACATCTCCAAAATCATTGATCATTTGTATGGCTATTGGTGTCGGAGCAGTTCGTATTGTACAGTCTGTGTTACTCTCTGTTCCAGGAAAGGCAAAGAGGTGCCGCCATCATTTAAGCACTTCTTCAGCAGTGCCATGTCTCTCAGTTCTGTCAATGTGTCAGGAACCAAGCTGCCTCCTGAAGCCCTCAAGTGAGACGCCACTCTTTCATACCATGCCACATCATTTGCATTTTGGAAATTCATTTTTTATCTATGTTCTTTTTTTAGAGCACTTCTTTTAGGACTGGCAAGTAACGTCAATGTCAAAGATGTGTCGCTTGACCTCAGCTGCTGTGAAGTAAGTAAATCCCAAAAGAGCATGCATTTGATGAAGTTTTAATCTCGTTGAAAAGCATTGCAATTTATCCAACCGAAAAAATACTGTCTGTTATTGTACCCATTGCCCCAGTTGCACACTAATGCATGCCATAGTGTGTGGGTGTGTTTTTTCAGAAGTTAAATTTAATATCAATATAATGCAATAAGCTCTGGGATGCACTCCAAGTCTGTAGGACAGGTCAGTGACGTTGCTAAGAGGCTGTGAAGTAATGGAGTTGGCAGGATACAAGTGGGGAGAATTACAGATATAAACCTGAAGTCTTTAATTGTTTCATCGCTGCACACCCACAAACATGCACGTGCATCTCCATCTCCGCCACGAGCTCAAAACGAGAGCTTGTTCTGCATTCAATGGGACTGCTGTGATATCACATGAATACAAAATTAGACAGGAAACCCAACCCCTGATTTCCCATAGACGTCTTCCCAGATTTAATGAATCATTTTGACGTCTTCCCAGATTTAATGAATCGTTTTGTCGTGGCATTCAAAAAAATGCTCCACATGGGCTGTCAGCATCACAATGAGAGCTATGTCCTCCCTGTAAGCTTTGCACAAACACCAGTAGCGCTCTGGTAAAAATGCACGTTTGCGTGTGATCATTAAGCATCTGTGTTTACTGTCTATAATTGCGGTCTTGGCCCTCACTTCCTGTTTTCTACCCACAATGCCCCTGTAAGCTTGGCCATTGTGTAAGTACTAAGCCCCTTTCTCTAAATAATTAACCCTACATTTCTACATTATTGTTTCTTGGTCTGGCAGATGCTTAATCATCCATTTATCAGTTTTATCATGTTATGCCCATACCACATTGTCATTCAACTGCAAGTTATGTAGTGTCATAGCAACTTTCCATTCTATGCAATTCGATTGTGTTCATTGCATGTTCTCGATCATCTCATTTTCATGTACCTTGTAAGTGAAGCAACTGCAGTACTTGCTGGACTATTAAGCGCACCTGTATATTGCACCGGCTACATTTATATATACATTTGTTTATTGTCTAAATAGATAGATTTCCTGTATATTTTTCTGCACTTCCTCCTGTTTGCTCCCTACTGTTCACATAAACACACCAAAAGAGGAATGTACCAAAACCAAACCAAAACCAAAGGACTTTTTCCCCTAACAGTGTGCTACATCCTCATATTTGGAGATCAACAGCTGATAGAGGAAGGTTTTTGGCCACTGCTCTATTAAAATAAAATTGCATACATTGGTTCCTTTGCTATATAGGCAGCAGGGTCCAAATAACTGACAAAAGTAGTGGCTGATAGTCCGGTAATTACGGTAAAAGACTTTTGTAAGGTGTCCTTGCATAATATATTTTCTTAATGCCCTCATAGTTGCGGTCTGGAGGCTCTCAAATCCTTGAAAGTTGCATTGCAGAAATCCCAAATATCTCCAGCCTGGATATTTCCGATAATGGTGGGTAGTCATGTCCTAAGAAAGTGCGAAAGGCCATTACTACATACTAATGTTGATTTTGTCTTGTGACGTTCAGGTCTTGACTCAGACCTGTCTACTCTTCTGGTCTGGTTGGCTAAGAATCGCTCCATCAGGCATCTGTCTTTGGGAAAGAACTTCAACAATATCAAATCAAAGTAAAAAACGTTGTTTCCTATGACTTGCATGTTAAAGATTTGGCAGGGATGTCAAAGTCAAATACATCAAAGGGCCACAGCGTACCATATTTTATTTATTTTTGCATTGCTCTGTCAGTAATTTCAAGTGAAAACATTTTTGAACAGGCTCACAGACAAAAGCAAACTTCCTTCAAAAAGAAAACACATGTCCTGAATATTAAATTATATTTTCTTTTGGCTCTGTGCCAGCCGGTTCTAATACTGGTAAAATATCATCTTTGACTTCGACACCCATGGATTTGGTGTTGATTTATAAAGATTTGTTTGTATTTCTTACTCATCAGAAACTTGGGGCCGGTACTGGATAGCCTGGTACATATGATTCAAGAAGAGGAGTCGGTGAGTTTTAAAAATACATTTTCAGTCTTTGTATAGTGTTTCTATGTGAGCAAGCTAATGTGGGTGGTATCTTCATATACTCAGCTACACTACTTTCCTACTTGTACTGAGTCAACTTGTGTTTTAACAATGATAATAACAACTTGTTAATGCATTCTGTTGTATTTGTTCTTCTTTTAATAGAAACACCCTTTGTCTGGTCCGTTTTAACACATCCCAGTCTCAGGGGGTTTATTATCTCTCTTAGACCTCTATTCATTTGTAGGTTTTATCAGTGTCTTCTGTGGGGGAGCTGTGACACCTTGTCTGCTGGTCCTTTTTCCCCACAGGATTAAAATGGCTAAATTGATGATGATGCTATTGGATTCTCAGTGGCAGATGGGTCTCTGGATGCTTGTCCTTTATCTGTATGAGAGCTGGTTATCAGGCAGTGCAGACGCCACGACACAGAGAAAGTGGATGCGGTCAAAGTTGATGGATTGCTTCATGTTCATGGGTTGAATCTCCCTTCTAGACATTCAGCAAAACAAAGTCGGAAGAAGAATACTACTGAACTCGGCTTCACAATATAGCAATAGCAATACTATTATTCCTTTGAAGACTCATTGAGATTTTGTATCATAATAAATAATTATGGTTTTCTCTTCCAGCCCCTCACATCTCTGTCTTTAGCCGACTCCAAACTGAAAAGTGACCTGACCATTGTGCTCAATGCTCTGGGCAGCAACACCTCTCTCACCAGGCTGGACATCAGTGGAAACGCTATGGGTGACATGGGAGCAAAGATGTTGGCAAAAGCACTTCAAATCAACTCTAAACTCAGGTTAAAACTTTATCCTGACAATGTTGAAAAAGATGAAACACTAGTTTCAAACATTTTTTTTGTTTATTTTCCATTTGTTCTTGGTCTGACTGGCCTTGATGTGCACAGGACTGTAATCTGGGACAGGAACAACACCAGCCCTCAGGGTCTACAGGATGTAGCGGCTGCTTTGGAAAAGTAAGTCATACTTTTGTCATCCCACTTTATTATATGTTCAAGTCAAGCATTGATTCCTCTTCATGTTTCTAATGTGAGTATTGTAGCAAACATTTATGCTGAGCACCAAAAACCAAAGCTGAAATGAATAGATCGCTGACAAAGGCAGAGGCATAACACAGTTGGAGTGATGTTATTTTTGATTATTCCTTTCTGTCAGTTTGGTTTGTGGAAATGACAAGAGGGCCAAACTGAATTGGTTTCCAAAGCTCATCTGTACATTTCTCATCTTCTGTTTATCATATTCAGCTGGGGAGCCTTTGTATTGCATTATTGAAAAGCAGTTTTCATTTAGCTGGTGGTTTCTGAATGTGATTTGGGTTAAGTCAATCGAGAATGTCATCAACAACAAGCTAGAATTTGTTTCCGTCTCTGTCTTTTCATGTATGATGTATTGTGTATCTTGTGGAGACATCTATTACAGCATATGTAACCTTTGTAAACATGGATCTTAGAGCAGAGGGCAGGCATAACAAAAGTAACATGACACTTTCGCCTTTTCATCTATGAAACACAATAATGAGCAACATGTTCGTGAGATGCAAATTGAAATAACTGCTAAAGGATGTCTTATTTTAATATTCTGGTTTTAATCCTGCAGAAACTTCACAATTCGATTCATGCCCATCCCAATCATCGATGCCTCTCAGGCTTTGAAGGCCAATCCAGAGAAGACGGAGGACGCACTACTAAAGGTCTGTTAGTCTCAAGCCTCTGACCGAATGCACTATGGTTGTTGTGGCCTTGGAACTATTGTGTCAAAGGCATTTAAAGGAAGTATGCACTTTCCCTTGTTTTTTATTTCTGTATGTTTCTTCTTAGATTGAAAACTATCTGTACAGAAACCACGAAACAAGGAAATACTTACAAGAACAAGCCTATCGGCTTCAGCAGGGCATCGTGACCACAACCACTCAAACGGTGTGTGAGCAGTTCGTTATGACTCAACTTGAATAGAATATGGGCCACAGAACAATCACTTATCATTTCTTTGCAGGTGATTGACAGAATATGTGTAAAGGTTCAGGACCATTTGAACTCTTTAAGAAACTCTGAAGCAGATACCATAGTGGACGACGTCAAATCTGCTGAGAACCTCATTAAGGACGCAAGAAATTCTAAAACTGTAAGGAACATTGTCATGCCATGTCCACGGCTGAGATTGATGCAAATGTTGTGTTTGCAGCTGCTTCCAAACTTGTACCATCTGGGTTTGTCTTCTCGAGAGGAGGTGAACAGCTCGTCAACAGGGCCCATTCAGGAGAAACTGGAGTCTATGGCCGGCGAAGTGACCACGGTTATGGACCAACAGCTTCAGGTCCGAAGATTCAGACTAAAATACGCCAAAAGACTCAGAATCCAAATAGATTATGGCAGAAATCGCTTTAGAACAATGCAACGATAATCAGATTTGCCAGCGACACATATTTGTTCTTAAAAACGTCCTTTCTATACAGTCGTTAATAGTTCACACATTTCTTTCTTGACTAATACAAGAAAAAAATATATATACTTTTTATAACTTAGAAAAAGGGATTTCTTCCATTGCCAATTTAGAAAAGACAACACTGTGCCAGTCATGAAGTAGATTAGATTTGTTTTTCTTCTACAACTAAGAAATCATCAGGCTAACCTCTTTATCGTAACCTCTGATGCACAGAGCCTGTTGGAGTCGATGGTGGACGCAGCAGAGCGTCTGTGTCCACATGTGATGAAGAGGAGTAACCTTCGCGCAGAGCTGTTGAAGTCCAGTTCATCCAAAATGCTTGTGCCCAAGAGTTTTGTCACTAAGACTCTGCTGGAGCAGTCGGGGGTCGACATTATCAACAAAATCAGGTAAGAATCATCTATGTTGGATTTTAAGGTTCTAGTTTAACATTACATACTTGTGAGGAACCTGTGCTTGTTTGTGGAGAGACCGATTGCACAGATCTGCAGCCTCAAAATGAATGAATAATTATGTAATGAAAGAACCTTGAGTTGTTAGTGTAATCGTTACTATTATATTATTATTATTATTATTATTATTATTATTACTGTAAACCTTGAATTTCTCTTTTTTTCTTCAGTGAGGTGAAATTGAGTTTGGCGTCGTTCTTGTCTGATCGCATTGTGGACGAGATATTAGAAGCTCTTTCAACATCCCAACACACGCTGGTAAAACATGTTTATATTATAACTTCCATGATTATTCATTACATAAAGTGTAATTGTAAACCTTTTCCCAGGCTGACCATCTGGTGAGGCGAGGGCGTCCATTGGTGCAGCAGGAGTCCGTGGATCTGGACGTCCCGGAGGAGAAGATCCCCAAACGCGCCTCCACAGAGATGTTGGAAGGAGAAAGACTGGACGACCTGGAGAGCTGCATGGTACGTTATGGATGAAAGATTGACTTTTTACAAATGCTTAACAGCCTGAATAATTGATAAAGATATTTTTTTTTTTTATTTGAATGTGTTAGTTATTGATTTGAACCTTGTAATATTCAGACTCTTACTGTTTGATTATGCTACTTTTGTTTCATTTTCCTTTGCTTTTCGTTTTTACCTTCTTGTTCTTTGCTCCTTGGAGACTCTTTGCTGTACCAGCGTAAGTAATCCTGCAATGTCACACGTTCCTCTCAAATCCACTGCTTTTTATCACATATTTACTATACTGTGTGCTGGAAATAGTTGCATTTATTCTGACCTGAAGCTAAAACTTCAAAGCACAAGTATAGCACGAGGCTTTAGCTGCCCATAGATATTCTTTGGATGTGGTGGCTACAAATCACTGCTTTTGACTTGAAAAGTGCTCCAAAGTGACCTCCCTCATCGCACTTCAGAAGAAAAAATCCTCAAAATCATCTGGTGAAAAATTACCAAATCGTGCGTCACAAAGTGTGCTGCTTGGGCAGAAAACAACTGTATTGTGGATTTTGATTAACACATCTCATCTTGCCTTCAAACTCAGATCTTTTGAAACTCCTTTTGGGGAAAAGAATGAGACTAATATTACTTCTGTAGTCCAATGTGGGCTGGACTTTGGAGCTCCATTGCTTTGTCTATTCTAACATTATAAATAAAATGCAAGTTGGGATAATTGTAACAAATCATTATTGGCATCATACATTTATTATTATTATTTCTATTTAGATGACTCCGAAATCCAAGCGGAAAAGCATCCATAGTCGGATGCTTCGACCAGTGTCGCGCGCCTTTGGTGAGCTTGTTCCTAATGATTAATAATGATGCAACTATTATTGTTCTATTTTGTTAATTTGTATTTTACTTGTTCAGAGATGGAGTTTGACCTGGACAAAGCTCTGGAGGATGTTCCTGTTCATGTGGAAGACTCTGCCTCTGTGTCTTCACCTTCTGCTGCTCCTTCCAAACAGGAGCAGAGGTCTTCAGGGGGAATCTCAACGCTGCCGTCAGAGGAAGAGAAGAAACTACAGCACTTCACCAAACTGCGGCCACGGAGGAATAAGAAAACACACTCCAGCAAAGTACCAGTACGTACAAACGAGACAAGGACAGAACATGGAGAGTGAGGTACTTAACATGAAGCTGTGACCTACAGGCATTCAGCAGCACTCCCTCACACTACGGAGAGCAGAACGGCCTTATGGGACGAGTGGACGAAGGCGTCGATGAGTTTTTCTCTAAAAAGGTCAACAAACTGGAATCAAAGTAAGTAACTCTAACGTTACACTTGTCAGTGCATTTCTTTGTTCATTTAACAAACTCCTTGCTCTTAGACGCTCATCAAAGGGTTCAGAATCTCATGATGGAGAGAAGAAAAAGAAGGGCGGTTTTCTGAACCTGATCAAACGCTCCTCCAAAGACAAACCGGATAAATCAGAAAAGTCAGAGAAGAACCACACTCCTCCTATATCCACCACCACATCTTCCTCCAGCATCCCAGAGGAGCCCTCCTCACCAAAGGTGGCACTGAAGAGCCCTGCACATGAGCCTAAGTCCCGGTAACATGTTGTTTCTTTATTGTGTTAGACACACAAGGTTTTGGTATAAAATAAGTATACAGCTCTGACTTAACATTTTAGGCTCATGACACTAGAAATGAAAACATGTTTATGAACCCTTTAGGTGCTTTTATTTCCTTCTAAAATAGTGTGTTTGTGGTTTAGGGATAGCCGCTCTCAGCCGGCAGACTACAGCAGCAGCTCAGACAGATCAGAAGACCTCAGGACCCCAGACTCTATGGACGAGCCGTGGGAGGCCTCAGATGGACGAGGCAGTCCCCAGGGAGGGAAGAGGCATCCTGGAGTGCAGATGGTCGGCACTGGGCTCCTGGCTGAGATGAAGGCCAAACACGAGAGGAGGTGTCATAAGGTACGAACAAGGATTTTCCATAAATACATTGTAATAGTCCATGAGTCCTCTTAACAGCCGTTAACAACAAATGTTCTCTTCTAGTTGGCAAAATGGTTTCAGCACAAACAATATAACAATAAATCTTCCTATGTGGATAATCTAATATCATTAGATCACACTACCACATATAATGACCACAAAATATTTTTCTTCAGAACAATAGTCACTCCTCTCCTCTAATGTGTTGGCGCCCTCTTCTGGACACATTTGAAACATGTTGTTTGGTTTCTTATAACAATGGCACATTTGATAATGAAATATATGCCTGATATTGTTCTTACACAAAGTCTTCATTAAACACTTTTATTAAAGATATTCTACATATTTTTATTAACACACACACATTTTAAACTAATTCTCTTTCAACAGTCTTCCAGCCCGGACAGACCTGAGAGCAACACGTCAGGTAACCTACTTGTTCAATTTCCCCCCGCCTGTTTTTCTTAAACAACTAAACATTTTGTTTGTTTACAGCTAAGCCACAGCCCCCCACCCCTGAAAACAGATCTCCCAGCAGCCCCATCAGCAAACCTGACTTCTCAGCATCGACAGAAAAGAATCCCAGTGAGAAGCCAGAAACAGCCCCTCGATTGCGGGCGGCCTCCTCTTCTGGACCAGTCAGCCCCAAACCCCAGGTCCCAGCCGGGGCCAAGCCTGCTCTGGCTGCACGACCCACCATCCCACAGAAACCCAGGACTACCAGCACCAGCAAAAGTATAGGTATAAACTGCAACTGTTTGTTGACAAATTAATATTGTTCTATTAAACATTATTCAATTGATATTTTGATATTGTTTTATACATTTCTTAGATGAAATTTCAGATTCTTCAAGTAATGCCTCTCCTAAAACAAATAGTCGCCCGTCAACGCTGAAGAAGAGTCAATCAGAAAAGGACAAAGATGGACAGAGCAATACAAACTCTCACGATGGTTAGTTACACTACTTTCTTCTCCGTTCATTTGTTTGAACAACTATCAATGCTTCACATATTGATTTCTTTGCATGTTATATAAAACATATGTTACATTATAACTTATGTTGAAGTATTACAGAAAATGTTCATTTTTTTATCTTCAACCATTGGAACAAGTACAACATTTTAATATGAAATAGCTTAGAACAAGACAAAAGAAGTGAAGTGATTGGGGCTTTTTGTTACATCACTTCAGACATTGTTCGAGTTGAGTTTTGAATGAATATATATATATATATGCTGTGAGCAGGGTTTCCTCTTTTTGCCATATAGAAAAGTAATAACATCTAGGAAAAACACAGGTGCACATTATTAACACGTCACTATGATCAAAGTCAAATTACATTCAAATGTTTGTCTGAAACCATTTGTGCCATTGTCTTTTTCTTCTAGTGAAGTCGGCATTCGAGACTGTTCAACGCTCCAGTGAAACTAACTCTGATGATCACGGTTCTCTCAAATCCAAGGAGCTCACCTCAAACTCTAAGGACAAAGCAGCAAAGAAAGCAGGCTCTGGGGACGAAGCGGACAATGATATTATTTTCATAAACTAACAGACTTTCAATTTCAAGACTTCTTCCAGCAGAAAATAAATAAATAAATAGTTTTTTTTCCACCTTTAGAAGAGGTGAGACCTGAGCATACGGTCATGAGGATTGCATTTGATATTATTAACCAAACAACAGATACTGCCATTGGAGCTTCCTTGATAAGAAAAGTCAGTCAAATATAATCCCAGATAGTATCAGGAAGAACTTTTTTAACAAGCATTGTTAAAAATAAAAAAAGGCTTTGAATCTCCCAGGGAACAAACAGTCACAAAATGCACTATACCTTTCAACATTACTCTCTAACAATTTGTCACTCTAATTTCTGCTGTACACATCTTCATTTGAATTATTATTAATATTATTATTTTCTGGTCTCATAGGTTAGTCATTAACCTACCAATATGCAATTCATATTTAGTTACTGTAAGAAACAGGCTTTGCTGAGCATCTCAGCCCACTATCCAGAAGTACAGTAAGTCGTTATGGGACTTTCTTTTGTAGCCAAATATCAGGAGCTGGAGAGGCCTAATGACGTGTCTGCTTTATGAGGACTCCATGTACTACTTAAGCAATATCAAATCATGTACGGCTTAGCACTGTTACTACATTATCACTGTGAACAAGACATCTGAAGTAATAAAGGCAAAAACGTCATTTTGTCCATTTTTCTCTTAAGCGCGTACCACTGTGAAGTAGCACTGTATTAAAGCTGTGTGCTAATCGTCCAGTGAAGGGAAAAGCAGGACACTGAGGGAACTCCAGCCTTGATCCACACTCCGCTCTTCTTCCTCTATACTTCAGGGATGTCTTTTTGAATACAGAAACACACTTTTCTCTATACGGTCTGAAATCACACTGATGTCACTTCCTCCTGTGTCCTCTTCAGACGCTGCCGAGGTCTGCTCCAAGAATGATCTATATATTTAGCTATGACTTACTTTCACTTTTTTCTTGAAGATGCCAAACAATTCTGTGTTTTACTTTGCAAAGAGTACTGGTCAATCCACCGGCAGTTCTGTGATGGCTATGAGAACCAAATGATCCAGCCCTCCTGTACTTGTTTCCCAGAGGTTTTGTCAGAATGCTACTCTTCATCTTTCTTCAGAAATGGCACCTTTTGTTCTCGTTGGTCAGTGTTTGAAATGCATCCTCTTGTGTGTGATTGCATGACTGTGATTGTAAATAAGTGCTTCATCTGTCTGTATTTGGGGCGTCTGCTATGTGGACAAACCATCTGCTTTAGTAGCCCAAGTGGTCGATTCTCTCATGTGTAATATCTCATTCAAAAAGAAGACTGAAGGTCCATGCTTTTTCCTCCTTATTGTGTACATTGTGTTTATACATTTTGAAATTAATTAACTATGTTTTGTTGGTGAATTCAACAATGATTAATGTATTGTTGCTTTAGTTCCGTAAATAATGCGGATAAGTTTTTCCTACAGCGGAGAAAATGTATGTGTTGCTCATGATGAGTCTCGATGAGTTTTAATGTTTCACTAAGTCATTCTGCTGTTGGCATCTTTAGTGCAAATCTGATTAATTATTATTATTATTAAATTACTTTGACAAGGTTTGATCTGTCTCATGTTTGTGTTGCATTTTTTATTGTTAAAAGTTGATTTATAAATACAGCTGAAATCCTGATGGGTCGCTGAAGTTGTCGGGTACATGCAAGGAAATACAGTTTAGCTGCTTCATAGTTGGGTAACAACTTGGATCAATATTATCAGTGACTACAGAGATAATATTATTTCAAATTCCAAATAATTTAATAAAGCTGCTTTTATTTAGCGATTTGCAATATTTTGTCAATGAAAGCCGTTTTATTGGTCATGGCCACATTGTGTCTTGCTCAACTGTTACATTAATTCAATTTGGTTGGAGTCAGAGAAAACATTTGGCTCTTGAGTTTAGTACCCTTTGTTGTCATAGCTACAAAGTTCTCTAGCTTTTTATGCATAAATAGTTTCACATGAAATGAGTCATGCAAAACCAGTTCTGATCAGACGCATGAGATTTGAGAGATTTTGTCAGTTTCTATTTTAGACGACTAAGGCAAGTTATTATTCATATCGCACATACACATAGAAACACAAAATAATAAAGAAAACCATTTATACATAACACATGTAGTATGATCACAGTTTTTTTTATTCACATATCATAAATTAATTCAACCTTCCACTGTCTTGCATTTGAGCATGAGTTCATTTTCAGATTTCAGCTGTTTGGTCACATTAACTGTTTGGTCCTGACTCCTGACCATAGACTGTATTGTCCTGACTCTTGGCACCAGCAGGAGGCCAGTCCCTGTGTGTCTTGCTGGGGTTTATGGGGTTTTAATTTGAAGAACTGGACATAAATAAAGCTGGAACCACTGTTTAGAATGACCATTGTTTATTATGTTCATTACATATTGTCTTTCCTGATCAACAAGAGCAGTATTTCTTCTATTGTTGACAAGCAGCACAACAAATATCATGTTCAATATTTTATTATTCCTTCAAAATTGCATCAACGTTATTATTCAATTATAATAAAAGTCTTAAAACGTACATTAACATTTACTTTGAGACTTTGAGCGCTGTGTATCTCACTAGCTCGTTAAAAGCCTGCACTGTTCCGTTTCGACCACTAGGAGGCAGGTTTGTGCTCAGCTGGTTCTGGGGGGCGGGGCTTGCACTGCCACTCATATAAATATTCACCACAGACACTGACACTTAGTGAAATTCTCCTCAGTGACAAAACTTGAACCAATAACCACTCATCCACAATGGAGTCTGGCTTTGATAACCTGGATGCAGCTGGTTTTCTGGAAATCTGGCAACACTTTGATGCTGATGGTGAGTATTTATCCACACGTTTTGATTGATAGGAGGGCTATTCATTCACATGTTACACTTTTTGGATCAGATAATGGATACATTGAAGATAAAGAGCTTGATGACTTTTTCTGCCACATGATGCAGAGACTGGGTCCACAGGTAAGGCGTGCATGGTTCATTTTCAGTTTGGGGTTTTTGGGCATTATATTGGGGGAGATGGCAATGTTTTTCTTGGATCCATATATTCAGGTAAACTTACATTGCCTTTAAATTGTAAATGAGATCAATTACTACTTACAATGTTCCCAATTGATTCTCACTTCAGTTAAGTGACCCATTCATCTGCATTAAACAGGCAGTGTGATGATGTGTCTATTTTTACTAACAAATCACATTTAATCAACATGTCCATCAGCAATTTTTAATTCAACTTTTTTTGTCTTTGGAGAGCGATTTATTCAAAAACAATCTTAGTTACCACGACTGAAGAAAAAGCCTTACACTGTTGGGTGGAGCCTGATTGAGTTAGCCAGTAAGATGGAGGAGGGAGATGCCTGTCTGTAAACAAAAAGGCAAAAGCTCTTAATCCAGTTACATATTGACCAAAGTGTGGTTAACATACACATTATGTCTGCTAATGGTAAAGATGCTTACCTTGTTTGATCACTTTGGGCCATTACACCAGGAGCAATAAGATCAGTGAAGAGTCCCTGCTTCACTGATGGGGCCACAGCAAACAATACCCTCTTGTCACATAGCTGCATGATCCAAATGTGAGAAAATTAACGTTTTGTGCTGATGCTTTATAACATTTCTTTGCATTAAAACACATAATTGATTTGCTTTTGAAGTCAGAAGTACAGTATGTGTGTGCGACTATGACCACACCTGTGTCCAACTTAACGCCTTAAAATATATGTCTAACAATATGTCTATCAATATATGTATCAATATATGTATCAATATATGTCTATCAATATATGTATCAATATATGTCTATCATTATATGCAGATAATATATTTTTTAGGTTTTATATGATTGTTGACTGGTTATTACTTGACGTTTTAATAATTCTTCACATGTTTAAATCATTGCACTCATGTAATAATGGACTTAAGTTCTATGTTTCAGTAATGCTAAATGCTGTACCTAATTGTACATATATGAGTATGCCTCTTTTGAACTGTACTTCAGACTGCCTCAATGCGTGCTTCGTTCAGAGATAAGTCTTGAAGAGGAAATCTAACCGATTCCTCAGCATGATAAGATTGATGTCACTGCCTCCACGTTGAATATTCCATCTTGAAGACTCTTGAAACTCAAACAGATTTCATAACGTAAATGAACTCTGCCTAATGTTCATAATGTATTCTAAACTTAGCTTCTGTGTAAGACCTTGGCAAATTGTCTGCAGTCACCAAGGAGACCAGTTCACCTATGTACTCTCTGAAGTACAATCAAGATTATTTTAAGACTTCTAAAAGGTCTTGGTATAATTTGTCATCTCACGCTGTGTTTTAAGTGTCACACAATGGCAGGAAATCACAATAAGCTTTTGTGTGTGCGAGCAGGAGAAAGTGACTGCAGAGCAAGTGCAGGGCCTGAAGCAACGGTTCATGTCTGCGTATGATGTCACCGCTGACGGAAAACTGCAGATTCAAGAGGTGAACAGTCTCACTGTGATCTTCGTGTCTCACTGGGAGGTGGTGGATCTTTGGATGGCTGTGCAGACAAAGAAAGCTCTCAGGCTAAAAACACACACAATTGACTAAAGTATTTCACCTTTTAGACTCTTTTCCCCAAAACGAATAAACAGGTTTTAACTTGACCCTTTTGGCGCCAAGGTAGAACTGCTGCTTGAGCTCCTGAATCCAGGACATTATCTATACAGGGCCTTGGCCTCCCACAAAAATTCTATAAAATGGTTTCTCACATAATTTCCTTTCATGTATTTGTTATTCATCTTAGTCTCTGGTACCCAGAGGGTTAGTATTCGGTGTATTTATTTAAGTTAATGCAGTAAGTGAAACAAATTAATTTAATTCTCCGTTTTCTTAAAACAAAGGTTGCAGACCTTTTTTTTTGCTTCTCAAAAAGAAGTGTTTATCTTTGAACCCAGACAAATACAATTAATATTGTTTATGAAGGGTGTCGTTTTTCTTTTTTTTCTGTCAAATCTAATCCTTTGCAAATTACGTTACATCTAACTTCTTTCTGACCAAATGCTTCATATTTTCACCATGCAACTAGAATGAAGAAAATCTATATCTGTGAAATCTCCAAACCACCAAATCGAAGTGCCTCCATCTTTGTATTTTCAAAACCCATTTAACTAAGTAAAGCACGCAGGGCACTTTATCTATTTCCTGCTCATGATTCATTCATTGATGGTTAGAAGCAAGTTTCAAAGGAGACCAATGCAACTACAAAGAACACTTGAGTCAAATTTCCTTTTTGTACATATTCGGTTTCATTTTACACATTTAAATAATCCATTCACTATGGTTTTTAGTAGATGCTGTGATCATATGTGACAATATTAAAATCAATGTTAAAAGTTAGTAGATTGGGGGGGTAACAAAACTAAAGATAATATTAAGTGCAAAACGTTTCTCCGGTCTTATGGTTAGGCCGCAGACTCACTGAAAAATGGCTGTAAAATGACCCAGATGTTCAAGTAAAAGCATCTTTATGGGAAATAGATTATATGAGACATAAGCAAACGCCACCCAAGGGAGCAGGAAGTAAATCGACAAACCACAAGATCCTGCCGTGTCATGCTTCTCTCAGTTACAGTAATGACACTTTAAGACTGGCCAAGTGTATCTCAAAGTTTATGTGAGGCCACTTCTGCAACAGTTCCCTTGAGTAAGTAAGTAAGTAAGTTTTTATTTATATACCGCCTTTTCACTGCAGATCTGAGTCTCAAAGCGGTTTACAATTGTTAATTATGGGCATTTGTCTCTCACTCCACACAGAGATGGGAGCGGGGTCGCCAGTACAGGAGGCGCATGCCAGAACTATTGGACATATTTTTAGTGGTAGGGGAAACCGGAGTACCCGGAGGAAACCTACGCAGACACGGGGAGAACATGCAAACTCCACTCAGAAAGGCCCTGGTCCGACCGGGATTCGAACCCAGGACCTTCTTGCTGAGAGGCGAGAGTGCTATCCACTCAGCCACCGTGCCGCCTTGAATGTGCTTTTGTTGCATTTTAATTAAAGAGTCATATGAATATGCATTTGATTTATCAATACGTACATTCTCTAGAGTCCTAAACAGATTCCATGAACAGACCTTTAGATGGATTGCTATTTTGGAGTGAATTACGAGCTGCTCCCTGGAGATCTCAAATGTGCAATTCATACAAGACAACACAGGAAATAGATAGATAGATACTTTATTGATCCTCATAGGAGACATTCAGGAGTCCAGTAGCAGTAAAAATAAAAAATGAAATTGAGAGAGATAGAGTAGCCTCTGGGTGGAGCAGGACAGATCACAGCAGCAGATGTGGAGTAGCCTCTGGGTGGAGCAGGACAGAAGGCGGACAGGAGACGGAAATATTTTGAAATTCATTGATATATATTGATTTTTTTCACATACTATTCTTGTATTATCTTTTTTTTTTTATAAAAGGTAATACTTAAAGAGAATAAGTTGCTGCTTAGCTCATGAGTGGCTGAGAAGGGCAATTGATTGGGGGGCCTTCCAGAATGGTTGCACCGCCCCTGTAAAATAAAAAAGGTGATTTGTTTAAACTTTGCTCTTGTCTACTTGGATGTCTGCCAATACTGCCATATACTGTATACAGTACTTGGCATCAGTGTTGGTGCATTGCGCTGGTTGTGAATTACCGTTGTACTTTGTGACTTATTGTAAACAGCTTGAGCCTCTTCAGAGAGATTGCGGATGGCTCCAGTTTAATCTACTAATGGCTTTTGATGGACACACAAATGAATATGTAGTATATACGAGAACAGAAGCCTCTAAGCAGAATATGCAAAAAACATACTTTCAGATATTAACATTATAATTGGTTACATTCAGATGCACGACGATAACACAAGATTTCACCAATTACTTAATATTGTTCTGTTGTAGCTGGCCCACATGATTCTACCTGAGGACGAGAACTTCTTGCTGATTTTCCGCAGAGAGGCGACTCTGGACAACAGTGTGGACTTTATGAAGGTTATTTATTTCCTACGTCAAATACTGTGAAAGAGGAAAAGGGGAACACAAAGGAAAGAGCTGTAGAATAGGGTCGATTTTTGGGGAAACTGAAATTATGCTTTTCAGAAGGTCTCAGGTTTTTATATTTAAATTGGACTAAGCATTGACACAATTTCTATATTTTTTTATAATATATATATTGATAATGCCTTTTACTTTTCGGCACCTCGATGGACTATCAATACATTTATGCTAAGTCTATTTGTTTTGCTGTTTTAGTAATTGCTTCCGTAATTTTTGTGAAAACACTTTGGACAGCTGGTGTTGTTTTAAAGAGATATTTATAAAAAAAATTATTAGGTTTAGCTCTTTATCATGATCGTCAAAACCTGTGCATAAAATGAGGAAGTGTCAATCTACAGTATCTTGATTTGCAGAGCGCTTTTCTCACACAGAGTAACACAACATGCTTCACAGTCCACATCACACACGCACAAATCCTCAACACAGGTAGTTAAAAACATTAAAATCATACAATGGATTCAAATAATAAATAACCACAGTGCATTAAAAAGAGAAGAGATAGTTTCAGGAAGTGTCATGGATGGTTTCGTGCCACGTGTAACTAATCTTTTTGTATTTTGTAGATTTGGAGAAAGTACGACGTTGATTGCAGCGGTTATATATCCGCTCAGGAGCTCAAAGTAAGATTAATTTGCATATTTAAGGGAATTAACGTTTGACTGTAATAAAGGTTATTTTCTTGTCCTCCTCCACAGGCCTTCTTAAAAGACCTGTTCCAGCAGCAGAACAAGGAAGTGCCATCTGACAAAATGGAAGAGTACACAGACAATATGGTAGTTACAAAGTGCTCTCATTCTTCTCATGATGTTTTGAAAGGCGCTTTTACATAAATGTATTGTTCCGTCTGAGTCTTGTCATGAAATTATGTAAACGCTCAGAGAGTTGCAAAATGTTTTCTGTTTCAGATGAAAATATTTGACAAGAATAAGGACGGCCGTTTGGATCTAAACGATTTGGCAAGGCAGGAAATAACTTAATGCTTCAGTTTATGCTTGATGTTCTTCTGTCATGTAAATGTGTAACATTCTATTTAGGATCCTGGCTTTACAAGAAAATTTTCTACTGCAATTTAAAATGGATGTAAGTTGTTTCTTGTACATTTATTAGCAGAAGAAAACCATAATGTCATATATACTGTCTGTTTTATTAGGCGGGCAGTAAAATGGAGAGAAAGAGGGACTTTGACAAGATCTTTGCCCATTATGATGTTGTAAGTAAAGTCAAGAGTCATCGAGTTTCAATGCTAATGTGTATTTTCTTATAACCGCAGAGAAGTCATGTGAGTAGAGAAAGATAATAGCTCTATCAGCTCCTTTCACTCTTTTACCAGTGTTTCCTCATTACTACTAACGACATAAACAGCTCATCATGTTGCTGGATCACTCTCTAAGCCAGGACGTTAACAAAGTCTCAGCAATTCAACACACAACCGCTCAATCAGCAACATATTCTCAAAACATGTTTTCTCCAGTATTTATTGTGTCGTGTAAAAGATTCTATTTTCTTATTTCTCTGATTACAGAGTAAAACAGACGCACTGGAGGGCCCTGAAGTAGATGGTTTTGTCAAAGATATGATGGGACTGGTCAGGGTAAGATTATGTCTTCATTCAGAAAATTTAACTTTAAAAACATGTCTTGTGTTAAACTTTGATCTAAATGGAAGGCACTTATTTAATTAGTTAAAAAACTCTAAAGTAACTTTTCTCAAGATCAATGACCGTGCATAATTAAGTGCAGTACATCTTACCACATTGTTTAGGTTCATCATTTCTATAACTTTTTAATGCTGTCCATGAATGGTGTTTTCTGCTCAGCCCAATATGACCGGCCCAGAACTGGACAAGCTGCGCACAGTGTTGCTGAGTCACTGCGATGTGAACAAAGATGGGAAAATTCAGAAGAATGAGCTGGCCTTGTGTCTGGGAGTGAAGATGCCAGTCTGAGTGGAGTCCAAAAGAACCAAAACATGATTCAATGTTGTCACATAATGGAATACTTTGTGCATGTTGTAATGAAACATTGTTTAATATTTGCATTTTCAAAAGTAGCATCAGTGGCTCATTCAAGTAGCCAAACAATGTTTTTTATTTAATCTAAATGTGAAAAATTAAATTTTTGCAAACTGAATGTGATCAAATAATACAAAAGAATGTAAAAAGTATATTATATTATAATGTCTACTATACTATTCTTAAAAAAACATCAACAAAAAGCTTCACATACCACATACCACTACTTCACATACTGTTGGTGCTTGTCATTCATGTCCAATATATATATATATATATATATATATATATATATGCATATATATATATATATATATATATATATATGCATATATATATATATATATATATGCATATATATATATATATATATATATATATATATATATATATATGCATATATATATATATATATATATATATATATATGCATATATATATATATGCATATATATATATATGCATATATATATATATATGCATATATATGCATATATATATATATGCATATATATATATATGCATAATATATATATATATGCATATATATATATATATGCATATATATATATATATGCATATATATATATATGCATATATATATATATATATATATATATATATGCATATATATATATATATATATATGCATATATATATATATATATATGCATATATATATATATATATATATATGCATATATATATATATATGCATATATATATATATTATATGCATATATATATATATATATGCATATATATATGCATATATATATATATATATATGCATATATATATATATATATATATATATATATATATATATATATATATATGCATATATATATATATATATATATATATATATATATATATATATATATATATGCATATATATATATATATATATATGCATATATATATATATATATATATATGCATATATATATATATATATATATGCATATATATATATATATATGCATATATATATGCATATATATATATATATATGCATATATATATATATATATATATATATATATATATATATATATATATATAGGCCTACAGGACAGCACAGAGGCAGAGGCACTCATCATGGCTGCACAGGAACAGGCACTGAGCACCAGAGCGATAGAGGCCCAGATATACCACACCAGACAAGACCCAAGGTGTCGGTTGTGCAAAGAGGCACCTGAGACGATCCAACACATAACTGCAGGGTGCAAGATGCTGGCAGGGAAGGCCTACATGGAACGTCATAACCAAGTGGCTGGCATAGTGTACAGAAACATCTGTGCAGAGTATGGGCTGGAAACCCCAAGGTCTAAGTGGGAAACTCCTCCAAAGGTGGTGGAAAATGAGCGTGCGAAGATCCTGTGGGACTTCCAGATACAGACCGACCGAATGGTAATGGCAAACCAACCTGACATCGTGGTGGTAGACAAAGGGCAGAGGACAGCCGTGGTGGTGGATGTGGCAATTCCAAGCGATGGTAACATCCGGAAAAAAGAACATGAAAAACTTGAGAAATACCAAGGTCTCAGAGAGGAGCTGGAGAGGGCCTGGAGGGTAAAGGTGACAGTAGTGCCCGTGGTGATCGGTGCACTCGGGGCAGTGACCCCGAAGCTAGATGAGTGGTTACAGCGGATCCCCGGAACAACCTCGGACATCTCGGTCCAGAAATGTGCAGTGCTAGGAACAGCAAAGATACTGCGCAGAACCCTCAAGCTCCCTGGCCTCTGGTAGAGGACCCGAGCTTAGAGAGGGATAACCGCCCGCGGAGGGCCAAAGGTGAGTGGAAATTTTTTTTTTATATATATATATGCGCAGCTGGATAGCTCAGTTGGTAGGGCACAGGACTGGGACCTGGGAGGCCAGGGTTCGAATCCCACCGGGAGCACATTAACACCAACATCCAGTGAGGGTCCTTAGGCAAGACCCTTAATGCTACTGCCTAACTCATAACCATGAAGGTACAAATAAGCAATGAGATGCCGGATCAGCCGTCGCCCGGCCAAACAAGGTCTGCGTCAGGTGCTGGGGAACCAGAGCACCTTGATGAAAAGTGGGCTACTGGAACAAGGCGAAAGTGGACGAGATGCGATAACAGGGCTCTGTTGGAATGCTACTACTCGAGTAACCCTGGCCAAAGAGGTTATATGCAGAGAATGTGGGCTGAATGGTTACTTCGAAACCCACAGTCACAGTTGACCCCGAAACAACTGGTAGCTCAATGCTCCAACATCCACAAACGGCAACTGCTATCACAGCTTGAGATTGATGAAGTACAACACATGTATGATGCCACAGTTGCCGAGGTCAGAGGGGAGATCCCACCAACTGCAACTCCCCAACCAGATATTGGGTACATAGCCCCAATGGAACCGATAACGCTGAACGAGGCAGCGACTGACCTGAAAGCTAAGATCATGGCTAGAATGGGCACAGGGCAAAGACACCGGTTACAGCGGTTGTGTGAAGTACCACCTAAGAGTCTCATAGAAAGCGTGAATGCAGCAGTGAGGGCAATACCTACCACCACAATCACTGAAACCAATGAGCTGATATACACTTCAGCAGCAGTGATCCTAGAGATGCTTGGCTATAAGAGCAACCATGGGAGCCATGGACAATACCCACCATGGAAAAGACGGTTGGAGGCTAAGATCAAGGCGGCTCGGAGAGAAGTGAGTCAATTAACAGAGGCCCAGAGAGGTGCAATGAAAAGACCAGTACCCAGAAAGTACAGCCAGATGACCATACCTGAAGCACTCGAAACTGCCAAACAAAGGCTCCAAGCCCTGGCCAGCCGCCTACAGAGGTACACTAAAGAGAATGAAGCCAGAAGGGTGAACAGGCTGTTCGCAACACAACCTGCGAAGGTGTACGCTCAGTGGCAGGGTAACAACAGGGGAGCAGATCCACCGAGGCTGGAAACTGAACAGTTCTGGAGGAACATATGGGAGAAGGATGCAGCACATAACAGAAGTGCACAATGGCTGGTGTCCCTGAGAGAGGAGCACAGCCACCTCCCAGAACAGAACTCAGTTACCATCACAGAGGCAGACATCCGAGAAAGAGTCTCAGGTATGAAAAACTGGACAGCACCTGGCCCTACTGGCTAAGGACACTCACATCACTCCATGAGCGCCTAGCAGCACAAATGAACCAGCTGCTGAGAGATGGGACTCACCCAGAATGGCTAACCGAAGGGCGAACGGTCCTGATCATGAAGGACCCTGTCAAGGGTGCAGTCCCCTCCAACTACCGGCCAATAACCTGTCTCTCCACAACATGGAAGCTCATGTCAGGCATCATTGCGGCTAAGATAAGTGGGCATATGGAACAATTCATGAGCACAGCACAGAAGGGCATTGGTAGGGACACCAGAGGAGCCAAACACCAGCTCCTGGTTGACAGAACAGTCGCCCAAGACTGCCGATCACGACACACCAACCTGTGCACAGCCTGGATTGATTACCAGAAAGCCTACGACTCAATGCCACACACATGGATCATGGAATGCTTGAAGTTGTACAATATCAACAGGGCTCTAAGGGACTTCGTTGCAAACTCGATGGGAATGTGGAAGACCACCCTTGAGGCAAATGGCAAGCCGCTCGCACAAGTGACCATCAAATGTGGTATCTACCAAGGAGATGCTCTGTCCCCACTACTGTTCTGCATAGGCCTCAACCCTCTAAGCCAAGTAATTGACCAGACTGGCTATGGATACCGCCTCAGGAACGGAGCAAAGATCAGTCACCTCCTCTACATGGATGACATCAAGCTGTACGCCAAGAGCGAGAGAGACATCGACTCTCTGATCCAAACAACCAGGATCTACAGCCATGACATCGGGATGTCATTCGGGCTCGAGAAATGTAGCAGGATGGTGACTCAGAGAGGCAAGGTAGTCCACACAGAAGGGATCTCACTCCCAGAGGGAACAATAGCAGACGTTGAGGACAGTTACAAGTATCTCGGTATACCACAGGCAAATGGCAACCTCGAACAGGTGACGAGGAAAGCGGCAACTGCCAAATACCTCCAGCGAGTAAGGCAGGTCCTAAGAAGCCGGCTCAATGGCAAGAACAAGGCCCGGGCAATTAACAGCTACGCCCTGCCAGTGATCAGATACCCTGCAGGAATAATCAGGTGGCCAAAGGAAGAGATTCAGACCACGGATGTTAAAACTCGAAAGCTCCTTACCATGCATGGCGGGTTCCATCCCAAATCCAGCACCCTGAGACTGTACGTAAGCCGTAAAGAAGGAGGCCGAGGACTAGTGAGTGTGAGAGCCACTGTCCAGGACGAAACATCCAAACTCCATAACTACATCATGGAGAAGGCCAAAACGGATGACGTACTCAGTGAATGTCTCAGGCAGTGGCGAGATGAGGAGGTGCTGGAGGAGAGCCCATCATGGGAGAACAAGCCCCTACACGGCATGTACCACCGGAGCATAACAGAAGTGGCTGATCTCAAGAAGTCCTACCAATGGCTAGAAAGGGCTGGCCTACAGGACAGCACAGAGGCACTCATCATGGCTGCACAGGAACAGGCCCTGAGCACCAGAGCGATAGAGGCCCAGATATACCACACCAGACAAGACCCAAGGTGTCGGTTGTGCAAAGAGGCACCTGAGACGATCCAACACATAACTGCAGGGTGCAAGATGCTGGCAGGGAAGGCCTACATGGAACGCCATAACCAAGTGGCTGGCATAGTGTACAGAAACATCTGTGGAGAGTATGGGCTGGAAACCCCAAGGTCTAAGTGGGAAACTCCTCCAAAGGTGGTGGAGAATGAGCGTGCGAAGATCCTGTGGGACTTCCAGATACAGACCGACCGAATGGTAATGGCAAACCAACCTGACATCGTGGTGGTAGACAAAGGGCAGAGGACAGCCGTGGTGGTGGACG